GCAGCCAGGAATGGCTCCAGCTGCTGCCGCCACCTGCTCCCTCACAGCTGTCAAAATGCACTTGAGGAAATCCACTCACACCTCCCCGAGCAAGGGTCTCCTCGGCGGGACGTGACACCGCGCCGCGGGACGATGGCTCCACGGCTCTGCACCAGCAGGCACGGTCTGACACCCCCCGAGCAGCCCCCGCCAGCTCCGCTCGCCTCGGCCTTCCCTGGGTTTGTCCCAGGCCAGGAGGTTGCTTTGCCGGGTCTGAGCGGTGCAAAGTTTATCGTTCTTTAGGGTTTGACTTCGAAACATCTTTTTAAGATTGAAATTCCTAATGGTGGTGCCAAGCTCATGTGGAAATTCCCTTTTATCAACACGCTGCTGCCTTGTACACTGCAACTTGCAGCCTTCCTCTGAGGAGCTCGCTGTGCCAGCGCGGATGTCTGCAAAGCCCCCGTGCCCCTGCGATGGGCTCTGCCCCTTTTGACAACAGGGCCATTAAAGGAATAGGTTTTTCTTCTTCATTTTTACCTCACTTGAGTGCCTGGTGGCCCTTCTTTTGTCCTTGTTCTCTTACTATTTATACTGCGGAAGAGTTTTGCTCTTTAATTGCCTTTGCTAGGTCTGAGTAGCTCGACTTTAACAATTCTCATCTCCAGCGTTCAAAGACCAGGGACTGAACGAACTCGGGAGCAGCGCAGAGGGAGCACGGGCAGGAGAATTTAAGGGACAGCAGTTTTTCTCTGTCAGAGGGGGTAACAACCAATGTACTGTTCCTAACCAGCAAATTTGTATTATGCATATAATATATATTTCAATTTTTTTCTTGTGCCTCACAGATTGTGCTTTCTCCTGGTGCCTCTTCCCTTGCTGTTTTCGGTCTGATGCCCTCCTGCAGCCATTCCTCATCCATCTTTCTGCCTCTTTTTAAAGTTACCATGTTCAGATGGGTTTTGCAATTTTGACTTTGAGGAATTCCACGCATCCTCCGTGCGCCAGACCCCGCGTTCCTCCCTCTGGTCGCCTTCTCTGGCCGGGTCTCGTCACTTCTCAGAGCGTGTCCTTCGAGCCACGCAGCCCGGGCCGCCCCGGTGCGGCTCGCCTCCCCCTCGGCCCATGTTGCATTAATTACGCCATCCAAGGTTATTTTCACGTCTCTTTTCCTTACCTAAACCGTGCCTAAAATAGCACCCCCTCGTGTCACTATTTGGTGAAGAAATCTGCCGGCTGTCAGCACGTTGCGCCTTTCCCACCTCGGCGGACATCGCCGGGCGGCCGGTGGCACTCGGGGCCGCAGGGTGCCCCGCTGCTTGCCAGGGCCACTCGCCCGGGAGCCCCCGGGCTGGGATGCGATCCCGCTCAGCCCTGCCTCAGCCAGGCAAGAAGCTGCGCCGGCGCTTTGAAGGTGGGCGCTGTCAGGAGAAACGCGCGCGATGCGCAAGTCATGCTCTAGCAGATTTGGCATCTTTTGGAG